AACTCCTTGGCCTCCGCGTCGCTGCAACAGACGGCCAGAGCTCACTTCCTCTGCGCGACGGGCCTCGAACCGCGGACCTCCCCGCGTCACAAAACCTTCTTTTGTTTCTGGCCAAAGTTCCGTTGCGCGTGCCATTTTATAACTTTGAAGGCGAAGCTCGCCTAAGTAATGCTTAAGATTTCAGTCCGTACCGCGAAGAAAACACAACTCTTCACCATTGCGAAGATCAACTTCTTAACGCCGTTTAAGGAAATGATCGCTGTTTGCATTGAACACAAAAAACGAAGACTCGTTTACCGTTAAAGCTGATGGGACGCTTCGAGGGTTTCAATTCCCCGTAAAGGCCCAACCTATATTGAAACACGTGAATATTGATAGTTGAAGCCAGTAGCCGTATTCGACCTGAAATAATCGATTTATTGATATTCGATTCTGGCTACCACGGAAGTGCAAGTGGCATGTTCGTTAAATCATGTACGGAAATGTTAGGTTTCGGCCTAAAGCGATGTCGTAACTCGAGACGGCCTGCCGAAGAACGGCCATCTTGATTTCAGACTGCAGCGTGGCGAAGGCCCCACGACAAATGCGGATGTCACGCCTGAGCACTCGGGCCCTCCGGCAACTTCGTTCCAGTCGCATCCGTTGAAGTTGCCTGATGAAAAATGAGGGGCGAGTTCAATTATTTCGCCTTTCGTGAGCCCGGTAATCGCGGCCGAACACGATGGCGACGAGTGCGGACCACTTTGTGAGTGGACGTCACATTTTACGCTTTCTGGTTTAACACCGCCAACTGAACCCACTGCCCAGCGCGCATTAGCCCACCGAAATGCACTCCCATCTTTAATATTATCCTCTTGCATCCGTCCAGCTCTGCGCTGTCTTTGAATGACGCCACGTGACGCAGGTCAGAATCTGGGCGCTGACACGAGCCGTGGTTTTCCCCAGTCCCTGCAGGCAGATTCCTCACTAGAAAATCTCTTAACCTTTCTCATTCATTATTCAAATAAATGCCCAGCTTTGAATTCGGGCGTTATGTTCGCTCTAACCCCTTGTAGCCCACGGCGACTTTCGACCTCTCGAATTCAGACGGCCTTCGTAAAGTTCGCACTGTGAACAGCGATCAGCGTCAATCAGCTGAGCCATGCAACGGTGAGGTGTGGTGTTTTCTTCGCGGTACGGACTGAATATTTAAATATTACGTAGACGAGCGAAAGACGGCGAAAGTTCCTGCTCTCACCTCAAGACGTAGTTGACGCTGACGATGCAGTGAGGCCGCGACGACCGGCTGTTGTGGACGATCGTCGCGTAGCTCTGCATCCACACCCAGCCGCCATCTTTGGTCAGGAAGCGGAAGTACTTGGTCGTCACCTGACCCTTGAACAGCACTGCAAAAGCGGAGCAGCGTCGTTTAAATGAGGGTCGTGAGCCCGCGGGGCGCGACGTAAGAGACCGTTTGCTGTTGGAAGAGTTACTCACGCGTGTGGTGCGAGAACCTCATGTGGAGGATGTCGCAGCCGTGGATGTAGTGGTACAGCGTCTTCTCGATCAGGTCCTGGGGCTCGTAGCCCGTCAGCTGGGCCACCCGCGCGTCCAGGAAGATCAGCTTGAGGTCGAGGCTGGCCCGGAACATGAACATGTTGCAGTGCAGCTTTATTTCCGTGATGGCGCTGGGGGGCAGCGAGTGGCCGACGGCCACCAGACCCACGTTCTGCAGGCACGAGTCGAAGGGGGCGGTGTCCAGCGCGAATTGCTTCACCTTGAGGTAGCCCGAGCAGTGGATAACCTGCGGGAGGCGGGAGGATTGGAATCAGCTGGCTCGCGACTGTCCACTGTGATGGGCTGGGAGTGTAGCGCCCGTCGGACGAGTCAGAGCTCTGACAGCCACGATTGGACTCAGCCGGCGATGGTCTCATCCCTTGTAACCGCAACGGAGCATTCTGCTGTGACCCCGTTCGCCCCCCCACCCCCCGGGAAGGGAAGACCTTGGCGTAGATGGATGGTCCTTTGTTGACGAGCTGAGCGACTATTAGCTGGAGTGTCGGTTCACAGGCGACGAGGCTGCAACTGGCATTCCAGCGCGCCAGGAATTAATTGGGTGGCTTAAGAGGGTACGCGCCCCGCTATAAAAACATCACCTGGCGCATTAGCTGCTCGGGTTATGCGCGCTCAGGGCGCGGTGCGTGCCCGCACAAAGATCGACCGAGCGACGGCGCGCAGTGGCGGCTCGTGAGTGCGCTTTCCCACGGTCTGCTCTGCTAGAGCCAGCGGTCGCAAGTCAAGGCACTTCACTCGAACGCCGGGCGCGCTACACGTCCCGCCCATCACAAATTCCTTCTAAGTCTGGGTCTTGGGACATGGGAACACACTGCCTCCAGCGTCAGTGCTGAAGCGCGCGCGCGCGCGCGCACTGACCTTGTAGCCGCCCGTGGTGAGTCCGGCGTTGCGCTTCGCCAGAACGCACTTCATGCGTAAGAAAAAGGCGCGCTCCACCTCGAACTCCGGGTGCTGCGGGTGGTACAGCGGCTGGGGGCTGGTCAGCACTGACGTCATCTCGTCGTGGTCCGCCGGGTGGATGTACTCGTAGATGCTGTTGCCCGTCAGCTCCACCTGCAAGCAAGCAGACAGAGTCTGAGTTCGCGCGCTCTGCACGTGGACGCCGTCGTAGAAGCTCGAGATCACTGACGAGGCACTCCCACCTGGGACAGGCCGAGGTGCACCGACGCCGTCTCCGAGATGTACATGATCTTGCCGTCCGGCGCCACCACGAAGATGAAGCCGTCCAGCGTCTGCAACAGACAGACAGACAGTGCGGTAAATGCCTTGCCCCGTCTGTCGGGGAGCTTGTTCCAAGATACGACAAGCGGTACGATACCTGCAGGAGATGCGAACCCAGCTCCTTGATGCACGACTCCCGCGTGTTGGCGGGGGGCGGATCTGCCCCCCAGGCGTCGCCCAGACCTGCGGACAAACACGCGCGCAAATAAGACATCGTCAAGGCAAGACGACGGCGACCTCTCTCTTGAGGCCCCGTCGGTAATGGCGGTCGGAGCTGGAACCAGGAGCAGAGACAATGGTCTGGTCTAGTTGCTAGGCGGGACTGAGGAAAACCACGGAAAGCACTGG